CTATTGATTAAATATTTGTCATCACAATTCCCTACAAAGAAGCGGAGAATTTCAGAAATGCGTTTTGAATATCGCGGTTTATTAATTGCAAAAGTTACAGTTAGAACTAGGTACAATATGAGAGAGATTGAGAATGATCGTCGCCTCGAGCAAACGGAAACGACGGCGTTTTAAGATTCGCTAAGGACGAAATTGCACGCGAAGGGACTGCGAAACAAATATTACAAATTGCTCTTTTAGTCTCGCGAGCCTGTTTAATCTGGCCGATTCCCTTAACTCGTAACTTTTGCTTCGCGGTATCACAAGTCTTCGCAAATAATCAAATCTGTACGAATGACATTCAAAATTAAAAAAAAAGTAGATTCTCTAGTAATAGTAATATTAGTTAAAATTTTAAATTCTAGACAGGAATAAAAAACAGTTAAATTTTTAAAATTTAATTTAATTAATGTATATCAAAACTGCATAATAATATATTTTTTTAATTAGGGATGCTAGATTCAAATACACGAATTCTTTCAACAAAAAATCTGAAAGATTTCCTAATCAAAGAACACAATTATTCAAATACGAGGCTCAATCGCCGGATGATTAATGTGAAACTCAAAGAAATTGAAAAACCAGCGAAGTTCGGTACCGAGAGTTAATAACGCAATTAGCATTCTGACAAAACATCGGTGCGCAAGATAATTTAATGCTCACCTAGATGCTCATGGATTCTATGTCTTGTATATGGCGAGTAATTACAACGCTAGCAGAGATAGCATTAGATTTTCTCGGTAAGAAAGAGACTATCGACATTAGTAATCGCTTTAAAAACACGAAGACGTACGCTCGGTCGCGCGATTCGCAATATCCGCGAACTGCGTGCAAACCTTGCAAAATGTTTTTGTTACAATTATGCGGGACATAGCATTACCACATTAACGCGAGTTAATTGCTAAACTCGCTAGAAATGCGCCGCGATTCTCACAGTAACTCGAGTTGAACGGAAAAAACAAACGAAAGGAGAAATTGACGGTAGTTCTTCCAAAGAATTCCTAATTCTCGAAAGTAGAATTTAGTTTTTAAATCTTTAGATTTCTCCGCATCGTCGATTTACATATTTTCAATATACTAGCTATTTTCCATTTTCGATAAGGAAATTTTCAATAAAATAAACTTTATTGCGTAAAAAAGAACTGAGTACTTCAATAACTTCGATAATCCGAAATATATAAATAAAAAATTTTGTTGAACTAGCTATTACAATTTTTTTATTTTTTATTCTACTTTATTTCCTAACAAAATTAACGAGTGATTCATAAATGTGAAAATTATTCGTTTATATAATCTTGAAGTTTTATTGCCATTCGTCACATTTTTGTTAAAATTCACGAAGTAATTTCTCCTTCACGAGATATGAAAAGGATATAAAGACTTCCTTAATACCGGTAGGCAAAAACATGAACACTCGGAGGTCGTTTAATAAATCGGCGAAAGGAACGCACGGTTGCTCAGCTGATCGAGAAAAAACACAAGTCGGAATGTGCATTTATTCATGCGACTGCAGCTAGTTCACAAGGTCAATACACGCATTGAACAAATATAGTCTACTTCAATGATCAATTTTCGTTAAAAAGAAATTAATCCAAAACAGCTAAAAAATTAGAAGTACGAGATATCCCAAATAGTCTACATGTTGTTATTTATTTCAAAAGTTATTATGTATTTCATCAAAGAGCGCTGAAGAATTTTTGTGCATAAACTCAAGCATTAACTCAAAATATTAGATGAAAACAATGCATACAAATGAGATTAATTACCACGTATGAATAATATAAATATGAATTAAAATATTCAGTAATGTTTTTTAAGAAAGTATAACTAGAATAAATTTATATTATTATTATTTTAATAAAATATTGCGCAGCGCAAATATCTAGAAAATTTTAGAGTACAGATCGTGCACATAATACGCTCTTTATACTTTGGATTCTTAAAGTAAGACCACAGATGACGATAACACACGATAAGAGAATCATCACTGACGTGGTCGGATATCAAAGATGAAAGAAATGCGCCCAATAATTTCCGTTTTTAAAATGTACAGTAATTCACGTATGATTCACCGATTGCAAGCACATGCGATCGCGCTGTATCTTTACTTTTACTTTTATCTCCGTATATCTGTCCATATCTAGTTATTGTGCCTTCTCAAGTCGATCAAGGTTAGAGCGAGACCTTTTTTACACATGCTTTTTCTTGTCGTGCGTTGTGGAAATGAACGGTAGCAAGTAGGTCGTTTTATGCATAATCGTACGGCAAACATCTTTCATGATACTCATTCTGAGGGTACGTTATGGTTCGTGTAGATTTTTATTATGCGCACGGACATTCTTTTTTCGTAGCCGAACGACTTCAGGAATATTTCAGATTTCTTAATCGGACTATATCCTGAGAACAAAAACATACATAAATTTGCATACTGAGGCTTTTGATTGTATGCCAATTGTTGTATTACACGCGCGACAAGGGAATACATAAAAAAGATCTTACAGCACGGTCTTAATCGCAATCAAGAAAAAAAGCAATGCATAATGCAAGATTTTAACCTGATATATTCGCATAATACATAAATTCAAGATAATTCATACTGCGAAAATATGTTTAATTTTATACTTACGTTTTATATCACTGTTAACAAAAAAGTAAAGAAAACAAAAGGTACAGTCTCTCTATGAATCAAATGCACCAATTTAATCAAGTTAAAACGCTGTAGAATCAACACACGTATTAGGTTTAAGATAATAGACATAATATTGTTTATAAGATTGAAATGTTTGAAAAATTAATATCTGTTTAAGAATTATTATATAATTCTGTACAAGTCTCTTAATTCAAGCTTCTTCATGAAATTTTGTTTCGATACAGATAATACATATTTTTAATAAAATAAATACATTTAATAATCAAATGTTTCAAGAATGTAAACTTAGTTCGAAAAATAAATCTCAATGGAAAAACAGCAAACAGAATAGAATTCTCATGCAACCAATCATTTATTATTATTATAACTTAATGAATCTGCCAGATTTGGACAAATCACAAGTAAGTTAAAACGATACAATTGAAACCTGATACACGCGCGTGTGTACCGTTAATAGCTACCGAAAAATCTCGCAGCATCCGGAAGAAGCACGACGCGATCACGCTCGCAAGCGCGCGCGCGACTCGAATTCCGCGCTCCGTTTTGCCGCTCGCGCGATTACTTAGTCAGAAACGCATTCGACTGTGAGAGATATGCACTAACCTTGATCGTCGGTCCAGTTTCGAATGCTCACCCCCGCGTCGTGGGCTTCCACCTCGCGCTGCTCACCTGCCGCGTAGACTCGCAGATGTAGACTCGACGACGACGATGTCAGGACACCGAGGACCACGATGACAGCCACGAGGAAAGGGATCCTGCCCTTTCTTTCCGCGATCCCGCGTATGCGAGAACAATCTGTCTCTCACAGCGCGAAAATCTGGATCTTCTCCGAATTCCCCCCTCCCCCCTCCTACGCGCCGTAATGCCCTATCTCGCTCGTTCTCTCTTCTTCCTTCGTCTTCTCCTCCTCTTTCTCTATCACCGTACACACACGAAAAATGGCAGCCCTATTATACTCGGGCAACCAATGCTTGCCAACTCGCGCACTGACACGCACTACTGATACGCTCGCGCGGAAATAACGCAGTGCAAGTACCTTTGCGCGGTCGCGACGCGCTCGGAGCTCACTTCCGTAGGTCGGGGGAGTCGTGAGGAACGATCACGCACTACCGAGGACTAAGTCTATGCTAAATTCGGGCAAGAAAACGTTCGTTAATACAGCTCGTTGTTTACGACGCGACACCGCGTACGTTCTGCAGTTGGTCTTGCATCTCGTTGGCATCCCTGTATGCAATTGACAATCGACACGAGCCGACTGCCGACCGCGCCGCGAGATTGCGCTAAGCGGCAACTTCGAGAGGCATGTCGCGTCGATAGGATAGCTCGCTGTGCGCGCATCGCTATTGCAGTGATTTTTTTGATCAACTGACTAATTTCACTAAACGGGATATAATAGAGAAAATTTTTTATTCATAATTAAATAGAATTTTGAAAGTAATTATGCCGAGATAAAAATATTCTTTTTTTTTGTAGAATGCTTAGACCTGACCTCTGTAGAGTACAGCTATCTACAGTTTGGAATTGTAACTACATAATCACATTGATTATCAACTGGATCACTGTTGATAAGCGACCCTACTGGTAAATAACACAGATTGCGGTTTGGTAAATGGATGTATTCATAAATTATGGGTCAGAAATGTACATTGTTCGAAATAATTACGTAATACAATAAAATATAGTTTCCATTCTAAAATGAGAATCTCATGTTTTATCTCTTGCTTTGTAACAATTATGAGATAAAAATATTGCCTAGCAAAATAGAAAAATTATGTAATTATTTAATTTTGTCAAATATTTATTCGATAATTCATGTACTTAATTTGATAATTTGATAAATATTTTAATTTACAAACAATGCACATATTTTGTTCATAAGTCAAGCAGTATAATGACAAACTATATTTCTTGATAGTTTAAAATTATTCAGAGAAAATCAATTAAATTAAATTTTAAAAAGCAACAATTTATAATAAAAAAAGTAATCAAAACTTAAAAAAAATTTAGCTTTTAAAATTTTGACATAAAAAATCAATAAAGATTAAATTAACAATTCTTAAAATTAAAATTGTCTAGATTTGTAGAAGAAAACGCGAAAATAAGGAAATTTATTTATATTTTACATTAACCTATTAATGTAATTTTACGTGTTCAAATAATTTTTATACGATTCTTCTTATTTATTAAGTGATATCATTTGATCATGCAGAGCTCATAGAGACAACACAATTATGCTGTGAGAAGATAAATAAATATTTCGCCGAAGGTCAATGTATAATATGTTTATCAGTGAGTCCGCTTATTCTCTTCGAGGAAGAAATCTTTGGAACGAAACAGTCTGAGCTCAACATTGCGAACGCGAGTATCTACAACCGTTTCACAAGTGATTCACGCGGAAGAAACACTTTTGATATTTTGATTTGCATATTTGTCTACTCAAAAATGTTTAGTTCAAGAACGTACGTAGAATGTAGAAAATATGTATGTACAATATAATACAATTAACATTCGTTTTAATCATGATAAAACTTTCGACTTTCAGAAATTCAATCAATTCAGGACTTCAAATCTCACAAAAAATGCTGAAAGATCGTATTAACTTGGCGATGATCGAGATGCAAAACAACATTATCAAAACACCATGCGAGGTAAGAATATTTCAGTTTCACATTTTTCTCTGAATTTGAAAAAGCCAATTGCATGGAAACACGAATGTGAAATTGATAAATAGGGCAAAAAAATTGAAAAAAGTTATTATTTGGAAAATTAATCAAATACTTTAAATTAAAATATAATCTGGTTGCTTTAGAGAACATATTTATTGAACGAAGATGATGGTATCAATCTTTGTCTCAAGAAAGAAAATCGCCAAGTCACCGGTAGTTTCGAAGCACGCAGCGCACTTTATGCTCTGCTGAAACTTTCAGACGCGCAGAAACGAAACGGTGTAATATCGGCCTCGACAGCCGATTTCGCTTTGTCACTCTGTCATTTTGGAGATAAATTAAAAATACCGGTAACAGTGGTACTACCGACAACAACGCAATTAAAAATTCATACGTACCAATGGACAACTGCCACGATGATATTCAAAGGCGATGACTTAAATCAAGCCAGATTATTTGCTTTGATGCTAGCGAAGGAAAAAACCATGCACTATATTAAAAGGTGTGATATATAAATTCGATCTCGATTTCGGAAACAATTTTGTTAAAAAATTATTTTAATAGATTTTTCACGTTCTTTATACTAGATAAATTTTATTCTATCTTTATCTAAAATTAATCAATCTAAGAAAACAAATAATTATGTGTTGGTTATATCTTTTTTGTCTATTTTAAAAAGTTATTTCATTTTAATGATAATTTTACGAAATTATATTATTAACTTATCAAAGGAATCTGTTTTTCAAACAGATGCCATACAAATATGATTATAGGCTATGGAACACTAGCCATGGAAATTATGGAAGAAGTACCTTTTCTTGAGGCGGTGTTGGTGCCTTATGATAAGACAGAATTAATAAGAAGTTTTAACATGATTATGAAAAATACAAATATCCAAATTCTCGTAAGTAAACAATTATTATTCTTTAATGATACAAATTATAAACATTATTGTTATATGCTTTAATTTCTTAATCTTAAATTTCTAATTATAATAATTATCCATGTGTCTCTCTCTTTCTCTCAAATAAATGTATCAATAATAAAGAAAATTTCTAAATCTTAGACAATCCAACCACAAGATATTAAAAGTGACGAAGATGTACAATCCGAAGGACAGATAAAAGTTGAAAAAAGTTTGATAGCAAATGCCATGTTACTTCTATTCGAAAAGGAAAAATGTGTCGTTGACATTGGCGGAGCGACTTGTTTAGCAGCTATGCTTGATGACAGTGTTCAACACAAATTGAAAAGAAAACGGTAATATCTATTATAGATCGATACATATATTTATCTATTTAATTATTATAATTAAAAGTACATCAAATGAAATGATCTGATCACGTTTTTGATAAAAAAAATGCTCTTAAATCAATTTCATAGTATCGCATAATTTTAACACGTTTTGTAGCGGTAAAATACGTACAGGCTATTTTTTAACACTGTAATTTTATACATTAGGGTGGTGGTAGTATTGCCTAGCTGTCACATCGATATGACTAATTTGGTCCAATATGTGGAACAAGCACTAATTAGCAAGCATTGCCTCATGGAATTCACGCTAATGATCTCGAAGCAGCAACCTAGCATAGCGGAACTTCATAATATGCTAGTGCAATTAAAAGTTACAATAAAAAATATTCAGATACAGCAGAAACAAACATCAATGTCCAAAATTAGCGTTAAAGTCGTTTGCGAAATTAAGAATAAGCAACACGCCGAAATAATCACAGATTTTATTAAATTGAAATATAAACATATAAACATTATGAGTTAGAAATTTTCATCAATTTCAATCCGCTATCTATTCTTACTGAATAAAAAGAAAATTATTAATTATAATTATATATTTCATTCTTATGACGACAAAAAGGTGTGACGATAATTTTAATAACACAATCAGAATGTAATACTTCAATCACATTATATTCAATAATCAATCAAAGTTTCTCAAATGCTTATAGTGACATAAATTGTACAAGAAACAAACATTACAATGATACATATTTTTCATTATTAATACATTTGCGTGGATTAAAACAACACTTTGAACTAATTTTACCTTAAGTATGTTAAAAATGTACAATTATTTATAATTAAAAAATAGAAATAAAAATAGGAATAACAGGAATAATAGTGATAAAACTTAATAAAATTGATAAAATTATACATCGGAAGAGAATGCCAATGGAAGAGAACGCCGT